TGAAGAGATTGTGAACAATCACAATGAGATCTTCAGATTCAGTGTAGTTATCTGTAAATGTTTAATCTCTCACTGCAGGCCTAAGACCTGGTTTTCTCTATTCTTATTAATGATGGTGATTGCATTGATAAAGTTCTTCATAGTGAATGCTTGATCTGCAGTGAATTTCAATTGTTGTTTAACTTTTATCTCAGCCTGCCACTGCATACACAAGACCTCAATTTTATTTAGAATTCTCATACATGAATGAAGCTTCAATTTCAGTTCAGCAGTCTCAGTTACTTTTCTTACTGCTTCAAGTAAATTCTCTGAGAGGTTCTGCATATCTTTCAGTTCAGGTAGCAGAGAAGAATGTTCATATTAACTAGAAGAGGTATTCATTTCAGTGATTTCTCATTGATTATATAATATCTATTATTATATCACTGTATCATTATATCACTATATCATTATATAATTTCTGTTATTATTATACAACTTCAGTGATAATCACTCTCTCTCTTTTTATTCTTCTTTTGAATAGAGAGCAGGCTTCTTTGAATCTGATTCACTGCTCTTATTCTCTTTCTCATATCTCATCTATTCACATACATGATATTTGTCTGAGTATGAAGGTTTTCTTCAATAAGCAAAGCAGCATCAATCAGATGCTCTTTCACTCATTACTCTTCATACACTATCTTTTGAGACATTCTAGAACCACACTGGCATGATAACTACAAATCACTTCATAGATGGAATTATTACACTCTGAAGAAGCCTGCACTTCTCACCAGTTTTTAGACATGCTATCAGATGTGATTCAAAGATTGCTTGAGTCAGTGTACAATTACAGGTGTACGCCGGCTTCTTATATACCTTATCTAAATTAATTAGTGGCCGCTAGAGCCTCTTTACATTCGTAAGCATGTTCGAAAGCGTGTTCGGAAGCAGCCGCGTTATTATCCGGCGGTCGTACGTTCTTCTGAACCATAAATTAAGATAATATTAAAATCAAAGAATTCTGATCACACATTTATTGAATGTTTAATTATAATCAGAACTGATTATATCCGAATGAGATATAATATTGAAGATTTCATGTTTTTCAACAGACTTCTTACAGAGATTAGTAAAGATTGATCGTCTTTTATAAAGAATTAAATGAATGTAATAGAGAAGAATGAGAACACTAGAATACTTGAAGATGATTTCATGAAATTGTGTTAAGATATTCTAATATAATTATCAGCTACTGATGAATGTCTTATCTTTAATGAAAAGATCTCTGTAAATAATGCTCAAGATTTCAACAGAAAGAATAAAAAGAATAAGAAGAAGAAGAAGATCTCTGAGAACAAGAACAAAGATTTCATCAAGCTGAATAGAAAGAATAATAATGCTACTAAAATATGTTATCATTGTCAGAAGATTGATCACATTCAAAAAGATTACTGATTGAAATTTTCTGAAAAACACTCTACTAGCTGTGATAAGAATAAGAATAAGAATGAAACAGACTCAGTATCAGTTCATAATATTATTGAGTAAGTATTTCATACAATAGAAACAGTCTATTCTACTGATCAAACTGATAAAGATATCTGAGTTCTGAACTCCGAATTCAGTGCTCATGCTACATCTTGTAAGAATCTTATATCAATAGTGCTGCAGAAGATTAATATCATATTGAAGATAATTCATAAATTAATAGCTTCTGCAACAGCTATAGAAAAGATAAATATATCAGTTGAAGAAGCAAATCTGCTGCTGCAGAACATTCACTACATTTCCAAGCTGAAGATTAATCTTATGAGTTTTGAAAAGCTTGTATATCAGAGCTATACATATAAGTAACTAATCTATGAGAATACTTATTCAATCTTGCTAATCTCTTCTGATAAGATGTTGAGTTTTACTGTCAAATTAAGTGATAAGAACATCTATATTCTGGAAAAATAATCAATGACTAGAGACTTGATTCAATTTATAATATTAAATAATGAATTTGAACCTGCAAAAATTCTACAGTCTGCAGAGAAAAAGAATTCTCTGCTAGTATTACTTAATAAGAATATCAAGATTGTTGAACATATAATGTTACAATGATATTAAAAGCTTGATCATCTAAATTCTGTGAATATTGCTAAATTAGCAGCAGATTCACTACTGAGACTGAGAATCAAGAATAATAGAGCTTTGTCATTCTGCAAGACCTGTGTACAGATAAAAATGATATATTCAACATTTACATCAATGACAAGAACTGTTAAATCTGTGATGAGATTCTTCATAAATCTTACAGATGATGACTGTACACTATATAATGAAATCAATCTCTCTACTCATAGAGGAGCTAATTATTGAATGAGTATTACAGATAATATTATATACTACAGGTGAATTATTCTTATGATGTCAAAGAGTGAGGTCACTGTGTATTTAATGATCTTTATTGACAGAATTGAGGCTACTACTCAACATTGAATTAAGACTTTACACTGAGATGATGAAGATGAATTTAAAAGTGATGAATTAAAGACCTACTCTCAGTAAAAAGAGATCACATATGAGATCACTATATCTGATACACTACAGTTCAACAGCCCTGCAGAATGTGTCAATTATATTGTAGATAAAAAGACAAGAAGCTTACTATTCAACAGTGAGCTTGTAAGAGAACTTTGAGATGAAGCTATTCAAGCTGCAGTTATAATAATCAACATGTTCTCAATATTAATGAAGATTTACATATGTCAGAGAGAGACCTCATTATTCTCTTTTAAAGCTTGAACAGGTGTTCAATCTTCTGCTCATTGAATATGTAGACGAGAATGTAAGATATATAAGAAGAATCTGAAGATTATCAATAAGCTCACAGATAGAACCGATGATAAGTAATGATAATTAGTTGAATATTAAGAACTGTATTAATATTGTATCTCAGACCCTGCAATCTGAAAGCTTGATATTGTAAGAAATATTGTTTTTAATGAAGAATTAGCTACAGAAGAAGCATCAGTGAATGTTATTAGAGAAGTAGTTAAACTGTCAGAGAAATTGAATATTCTTGACATTATAAAGAGATGACAATACTGTCTTCTAAGAAAACTTATAAAGAATAAACCTGATATTTTAAAAATGCTTACTGATGATGATATGAACAGCACACTGGAACTGATATATTTACTAGATGATGAGACAGAACTTGTTAATAATGATATGAATAACTCTGTAAATGATGAAGATTCTGTACTCAGTGTTCTTAATAACTGTCTGATCACACTGACAGAGGTCAAAAGAAGTCATGACTGAGAAAATTGACACTAGACAATGAAGAAGAAAGTGAAAACTTTTGAATGAAAGAAGATATATATTGTCATTGAAAAGGCTCTGAAAATGAACATTCTTACAGATAAATGAGTGTATAATTAAAAATTGAATAACAAGGATAATGTAAGAGGTCTACGCCGAATAGATCGGTATAATATATAGGTCTTATATAACAAAGAGAAAAACGTTAGAGAAGGAAAGAAAGAGAAAGTGTAGAAATCAGCAATCAGAGTGAATATTTATACATGTATGTGATGGTGTACACAGTAGAGCTTCGGGGCGGAAGAATCTATACACATTCATGGCAGCTGAGGATCGGCGATTGAGAATGACTGAGAATCGGAGCATATGTGTTTGAGAGTGAAGTGGAAGAATCTATGAAGTGGAGTGAAATAGTCTATATAATTGATCAGGTGCAGTCTGTCACATTAGTCTCTCTCTTTCAGAAGCAGTTCTCATCAGTCAAGAGCTGCTGTTTCAGATAATATGAAACTCAGAGTTCAGATCAGTTGATTATAGCTGACTCATTTTATGAGATATTATCAGTTATAACTGCAGAGTCTCTTATCAAGAATATTCTCAATCTCTCACTCAAGCTCATTATCTTCTTCTATGATATCTGATGACTGTCAGTCAGAAGTCAGTTGAGAAGAGAATAGATCAGTGATAGTGCAGCAGAGTAAGTGTGTATAAAATATATTATAAATCACTGATGATATATCAAGACAGTAGTTATGACTATCTAGAACTGCTATCACTTTATACCTGATATAACAGTAATCTAGCATATAAGATGAATATGTGATTTGTATATTCTTAAGATTTAATCATATCAGATCTTCTATCTTATATTGTTCAGCAAGATCTCAGTGAACATTAATTTAATTCTCTTAATCTTGTTTTACAGTTATTATAAAGACCTCTGCTTAATCACAGATATCTCAGAGCTTTATTACTATATTGTCAGTGATCTGAATTGAACTGCAGAAGTTCAGTGTGAACTGTATAATCTCTAGAAGATTTAACATCTTTATGTGATAACTGTGTATAAGAAAGAACAGACTTATGTCTGTTAAAACAGCATCTTATTCATTAATAGTGATCTCTGTGTGTAGAAGCAGATCATATCAATCATTTTATAAGTAATTACAGAACTTATAGAGATAGTTCTTTACAGTCTGAATTATCTATTCTAATGCATCATTGATCTCAGAGTGATAGATAGTTAACAGATAGTATATAATCTTGAGAACTTGACAGATTCTTGTTCAGAGAGTGCTCATGAATTGACAGCTCTGATCTTATACTATTGATCTCAGTAACTTATATATCTGATAGAATGAACTCTGTAAGAAGACTTCAGTGACTTGTTCAGTATTCATCTTATTATAAGATTTCAATATTATATCTTTACTTAGTTAATCAACAATGATCAGAATATTTCTACAATTCATACTCTCAGATAAATCAACAGTGAAGTCAATTACTATATCTTATCAGATTCTATCAGAAACATTGAGTGATTTCAGTAGATCTTTTTTACAGTTCTTTTATAAGATAATAGAAGAACAGTAGTTACAGTTTCAGATAAAGTGTCTGATACTATTTAATATCTCAGATTAATAGAACTCTCAGAAGGTCATTCTATACAGTTGTTTACAGCCTGAATAATCAGTTATATACAAATCATGCATCTCTTGCATTATTCAGGTATGTAAGAGTTTGAAGTAAGAGACTCAGTGTTATTCACAGAAATATAGAGTGTTATTATCATTGATTGAATATTCTGAGATGTCAGTTTTTATATATAATTCTGAGAAAAATCAGAGTGCTTCTTGTTATACTGCTTCAGTGAGTGTTTAAAGAAGTTCATTGATTTAAGCTTCTGTATGTCATAGCTCATCTAATATAGGTTCAGAAGAAGTTAAAATATCAGTGATAGTTCTAATCAGAGACAGCAAGCATACAATCTTAATATCAAACATCAACCGCTCCACCACGAACTCGCTCGATTTTTCGAATAAGAACCCGCCGATAGATCCATCGAAAAGCCCTCGATCATACGAGCATTTTGACCCCATCGCCGACCGCATACCCCGTGTGGTGGTGGAGTTATCCAGCCAAACATGAACTAGACGTTGTTCGAAACTCCCGTGTGGGATTATCCCCCGTTCACCCCTACCACACCACAACCCCGGGCCAAAGTGCCATACAAATTGTAAGGTGAAGAGACATAGCCATATGCGCCAATCTTCTTGATTTTGGAAGATCCCCGATCTGTAATTGTGGAGATATCTGAGAAGCGACCTCCGCGAAAACCCTGTCCACCTTTGATGTTCCAAAACATCAATGCCAAGTCCCACCCTCGTACCGCCCTTCCCAATCTGGCCCATCCCCGGCAGAAAAATACAAAAAGATACCTCGGCGATAATATCAAGCACATAACCAATGGACACTCCTGAAGTGCAACCTCCACAGTCTGTCGTCAGTGTATCTAGACTTCAACACCAAGTCTCACCCTTGTACTACCTCTCTCAATCTGGCCCATCCCCGGCAGAACAATACAAAAAGATACCTCAGCAACAGCATTCAATACATAATCAGCAGACAATGAGTCAACAGCATATTAATAACTATAAAATCAGTATATCTCAAGATCTGACTGAGCCTTTGATCCCTGCACAGTGAGATATATTAAATCTAGTTTTAATATCTCAATATTCAATAGATTCTACAAGAGATTGAGAACAGCAACACTAGGTTTCTATTGAATTTAAGAATTAACTCTATATTGATATAATCATTGACAAAGTCTTCTATTTTGAGATATAAATAACCAGTTTCTCTACATCTCACTGACAATATTTATATTATTATATAGAAACAGACTTATATTCTCTATAATATCAAGACTCTGAAGAGAGAAAGTCTTGATAGAGAGTATACAGTAGTGTATATCTTAGCAGTTTCTATCTCATTCTTCTGCAGCAGTTAATGTAAAAAAAAAAAGATCTTAGAAATAGTTTTTTACTTCTCTTGAAAAAGTAAGGTGTTTTTCTCTGAGTTTTATACAATATTCTTACAAAGAATAAAAAACAGAGCTGTTTTCTGTCATAATTTCATATTCTTTTAAGTAAGAATTACTTTTTCAGTGACTGAAGAGCTTTCATTAATACTTAATTCTTTTTTACACTCTTTATTAACTGATTTGAGTTGCACACTTGTTGTGTGAGAAGAATTGAATGATTTAGAATAAAATTAAATAGTTTTAATCAATTTCTCTGCAAAAAATTGATTTATTTTTTGTCAGTTTTTCTCTCAAAAACTGTCATATCATCTGATTCATTATCAATTGATATCATACTCTTTCTCACTGTATCTCAAGAAAGAGATTGTAAAGATTTTATTGATTTATCTTAAAAATCAATTTTAGTTTATTAGATTCTCTTCAAAAATCTAACCTAGTTACTGAACTAGTGTGAAAAAAATCAGGTGTTTTATACATAAAAGTCTTTTATTCTTCTTTTGAAACAGTCTGACCAACTTTTCAATTGAAAACAGACTTAGAAATATCTCAATTGAAACAGTCTGACCAACTTTTCATTGAGTGAGAATAATGAGTTCAAAAATACACTCAGTTAATGTGGAAAAAGATGCTTTCTCAAATACTATTCCTGAGATTGAAATTCTGAAGAGAAGATAGAAAGAAGAAATAGAGAAACAACAAGTTCTTGAAATACAGAAACTTGAAAAAGTAAGCAAGATTCTTGAAAAGCAGTGTCTGAGTGAGATGAATGAAGAAGTTCTGTTAATTCTTCATACTCAGGCTAGACAACTACAGGAGATGATCAAGTTCAAACTTGAAATCTCAAACACAGTTCAAAAAACATTGAAAATTCCTAGTATAATCACTGACTCTTCATCTTGCTCTTCTTCTTCCTTTTTTCCTACTTCTTCTTCTTCTTTGAATCAGAAGAAAACATATGCTCAAGCAGCTGAATCTGCTGTCTCTAAACCTGCTGTCTCAAAACCTGCTCAAAATTCTGAGAAAACTGAGAAGAATACTGCTCATATCTCTATTCATAGAAAAGTGAAAAAGAAAATGTAAAAAGAGAAAAACTTTCAACTCTTCAGAAATAGAAGACTTATTCTCAAAGTCTCAAATCAGAATATTCTGCAAAGAAATAAGCTAAACTCAAATCTCATTTTCAGAATCAGAAATGAAATTAATCAGTAGTTCTTTTCTCAGTTGATAACTGATATTGAATTTCAAAAATCAGTTATAGCTTCAATTGAGTCATCATTCTTTGAAAACTTCATCATTCTGACTACAATGCCTGAATTCAGTGCTGAATTCCTTATTCAGAATGAGAATCTCTGAAAGTCAGTAGTAGAATCTTTGTTAAACACAATAATTCTATCTGAAAGAGATGAAAAGTGAGAAAAATTTATTCTTTATAATATTCCAGTTGAAATTTTTGACTGTGAAGAAGGAATGCTACTTCTCAAAAATGAATTGAAAGAATACAACTGTATTCAACTGAGAAAGAAGTCTGTATGACTAAATTCAATTGAGTTCAGACAAAGCAGGAGAAATGCCTCTGTTCTAGTATATATATAAAAACACTTGAACAGTCAAAGATCTCTGAAGTAAGAATAGCAGGTTTGAAAATGAGAGTTCATGAATACAAAGACTCAAGAATGAATCTCAAAGCTCAAACACAGTGTTCAAACTGTCAAAGATATGGACACTTTGCAATCTCATGTTTTAGAGACTCAAAATGTGCATTCTGTGCCAGAGATCATAAAACTAGTGAGCATAAATGTGAAACATGCTTAAAAAGAGGTGAAATATGTCAACACACTCTGCTTAAGTGCTCTAATTGCAAAGAAAAACATGCATCTAGCTCAAAAGAATGTATGTTTGCTCCTAGAACTCAAAAGAACTGAAGAAAAGATAAAGCTCAAAGTCAATCTAGAACTGAAGAGAACAGTCAAGCCAGTAGACTTATAACTGCAAGCTCAAAAAGAAGAAACTCTTAACTATCTAAATCTTCAAGCTTCAATTCTTCAGCTAAATGTAAATAGAATTTGAATTCTTAAACTTCTGTTAAGATTAGAGAATTGAGAAATGACTCTGATGATAAACTAGATATAATGTAAGCAGTTGAGATCTCTACTTTTCAAAATAGTTATAATCTACTATCTGATGATAGTGACTAGATCCTACTCTATCTCTACTCTCTTTTAGTATGAATATACAATAAAAACAACAAAAAAAGTTAAAAAACTCTTCAAAAATCACATTTATTCAAAATAATGTGAATAGAAACTCAAATTGTATTTATTCTTGTCTTCAAATTACATTTGAATAAAAAGTTGATTTTATACTACTTCAGAAACAGAATTTTGATGCTGAGTAAAATTATATTATTTCTCATTCAAGCTACTACTACTTTCTATCTCAAAAGTCTGAGATAAAGTCAAGAGTAGTGATCTATGAAAGAAAGAGATCAAGATATTAATTTAATCCAAGATTTAATATCATGTCTGACCCTGATATTCTGGTGAGTGATATTATAGATAAAGAAAATGAGTTTAATACTATACAGCTCATAAATATCTATAATGAAAAGTTATTGAAGAAAAATAACAATATCTGAACAATTGATAGAGGATTTCTGAACATAACTTCATCAAGAAACTCTATAATTGCAGAAGATTTCAATACACATCATCTCTGATGAAATTCAGAATGCAAGAGAGCAGTGAGAGCTGATAATCTGATTGAATGAATCTTTGAGCATTCAATAGATTTAGTTAATAAGTCTGATCAACAAACATTCTTTAGAAAAGATGTGAAACAGAAATCTATTATAGATCTAATCTTCATATCACAAAATCTAATGAAAAGAAGACTTGTAAACTAGTTTATTAATTTAAATGAGACATCAGAATCAGATCATGAGATTATTCAATTTGATATTGAACTGAGTGAAAAACAAATGAGTGAAAATCCTCTTCTCTCTAATCAGTTTAACTTTGAAAAAGCTGATTGAAAAGCAGTTGAAGAAAGCATAAAACTGCTAAAATCTGAAAGACAGAATGAGCTATATTGAAATTCTGGTCAAGATATCTCAAATGAAATGCTTGAGAATAGAGTGAAGCTTATTACATCTATTATTCTAATAAGTGTTAGAGATAATATTTCAAAGAGAAAATCTTCTGAGTATTCAAAACCTTGATAGAATGAGAATATCTCATCTAAAAGGAAAGAATTAGCTACTGCTAGAAGAGATTGAAAGAATGATATAATATCTGATAAAGAGTTCAAAGCTATCAGAAATGAATATTTTTCAGATATTAAAAGAGCTAAAACAGACTGCTGAAATAAATTTCTTGAAGAAGCATAAGAAAAGAAAGTTTTTAAAGCTTTTAACTATACTAAAACAAGAAGTGTAGCAAAACTTTCAGCCTTAGAATATGAGTTTCAGAATGAATTATATACAGCAAACTCTTTTGAGGAAAAATGTCAAGCTTTCATGAGAATTCTCTTTCAGAACTCATCAGATTCAGATTCAGATTCAGAGAAAGAGAATATATCACTTCTCAACTACATTGATGAAAATGACTGAGAATGGCCTGATCTTATATAAGATGAATTAGAGTCAGCTATCTTCTCAAGTTCTGTTAAAACTCCTGCAGGGCCTGATTCAATTAATTACTTGATTATTTAAAATATATATTTCTACTTAAAGAATGAATATTTTGAGCTCTTTTTCAATCTCTTGAAAAATGAATATCATTCTGAATGATGAAGAGAAGTCACTGAAGTGATTCTTATAAAACCTAATAGAAAAACTTCAATTTTTAAGTCATATAGAGTAGTATCTCTATTAAACTGTCTAGAAAAGATTTTGAAAAAGATAATAGCTACTTAACTATCTTTTATAAGCTCTATTAATAACTCTCTTTTATTCAGTGAATAAATGAGAGATAGAAAACAATGTTCTGTAATTGACACTGTTCTCTCAGTTATTCATGATATTCAAATAGCAAAGTATGAAGATCTGGTCTCAACTGCAGTTTTTATTGATATAAAAGAAGCATTTGATCATGTTTCAAAGTTA